TTCTTTAATATTTAACCCAAATGACACTTACAGAAAGCAACCTGAGGCTGTGTCAGCACGGGGCTACCGTTATAGAAGAAGACATCGCAGCTTACCCGACAACAAAGATTAGGAGGTGAACTCTGTGGCATTGAACTAGATTGTTGTATTAAATAGATCATACCACTCTCTTACAATTATTTAGACTTTTTAAGCAGTGAGCAGGCACTGGATGGTGGCAGAATCCCTGAGGTGCCCATGGGCAGCCTCGCTTGTGGGGGTAGAGGAACTAGGAAGCCCAACTGGAGGATTCGGATCCTTTGTATGTGATCCCCCCAGCCAGATGCCAGGCTCCTGAGCTCCTGCTGCGCCCTTCATCTCTGTGTCCTCAGCGCCTACCGTGGGCAATGCTCTTACAGCACCCGCCAAACCAGCGGAGGAATAAATGGAGAGGTGATATGAGTGCTGCTTTGTGCCCCTGCCCCAGAACAGTACCAGGAACACAGGAGAAAGTGAATTCAGGATGGTCAAGATGATTACTTTTCAGCCATCCCTGTCCCACCCCTCTCAAGGGTCTCCTCTCTGCTTCCTAAGGTGAGAGGCAACCAACCAATCAGGGAGGGGAGGGAGGCCTAGGTGTCAGGAGCTGAGAAAATGTCACCATGACCCCTTTGAGGCAACAAACTACAATGCTTTAATAGGTCCATTATGGGGAGGCAAGCTTTGCTGGGTCAGGCATAGTTTGGGCACTTTTCAAATCATAGGGTGACTGTCCCCTGGCTTGAGGACAGGTCTGGCTCGCCTGCAGGACCCCCAGCCCTTGGGCAAGGAGACCGGTGTGCAGGAGGCCCGTGGGGGCTTCTCTGCTCCAATAACAATGCCACAGTAACTACTAACATCCAACTGGCCCTCCTGGGCATAAGACACTGTCACACACATTCTTTTGACTGTCATTGCATCCTGGAGGGAGAGGGACAGCGTGGATTGCCCCCAAGGTCCTGCAAGAAGAACCAAGACCAGGTTTGCGCTCTGGTTTTCTGAATCGCATTCTCAGCCTCCTTCCCCACACCACTGAGCTCCCCGGGAACAGTATGGAGTTCAGAGCAGGAGGAAGCCTCCGTGGTCATTGCTTGTGAGCTCATTATTGCACAGTGGAGGGCCATGAGGAAATGGGGCCTCCTGCACCTGGACCCACCCTTCACACCCCAGACCTCCTTTGCCCATTTTCCCAGAGGTTTTTGGTCTCTTGAAATTCTGTCCTGGTATCACCACTTTATTTCCCAGACTATATTTCCTCTTCACCTCTAAGACAGTTGTGGCAGTTTACAGCTGTTTACTAGCAGTCAGATAGACGAGGAACTTAAGTGGAATATAAACTATTGAATTAAATTATCCTCTTCAAATGCCACCCGGTACTTGCTGTACCTGAGAATTTCAATCAATGAAATAACTTCCTGCTCACTAACGGAATGCACCAAACAAGTTTTTTTGCCTGCCATTTGAGCTGGGCTGCTGCTGTGGCAGAGGCTGTTATAGGGGACAGAGATGTTCATGTAGACGGGCATGACAATGCGTCACCTGAAAGCATAGCTTTCTTGAGCTCCCAGTAGTGCCATTAAGCAGGTTGGGAAATTGCTTCATTCCTCGAGCCTGGGTGTTAGACAGAGCCATTCACAGGAGGGTCGGTGAGGCTCTCCAGGAGATGGAGGGTAGAGTCTTGTCCTTTAGGACACCTTTTAGGGACTCAAGGAAACAGTGGTGTGGAGAGGAAGGGTACTGAAGAAGGAAGACAGATTATCTCCCAGCACCAAAAGATATAGGTAAAGCTCACAGCCATACAAACAACACCCACTAATTACAAGTTGAAAGGATGGAACATCATACCCTCCATATTTATAAAACAGAATGGCCCTGGGCTGGGAGTTCCTGGGTTCAAGTTCTGGTTCCAACATTTATTAGCCATGCTGTCAGAGGCAAGTCTCTTCTCTGTGGCTCCATGCCCCTTCTCTGTAAAATAGCTTCACTGCCTACGTTATAGGGAATGCAAACACCTTTCAACAACTTCCAAGCACTGTACAATTGTGTTACAATATTTGGGTGGTGGGAGAAGCCCTTTGAGAGAGATCCCTCCAGAGCCCACAGAGCCCCTTAATTGGCCTCTGGGCCATGTGAAGAGGGGCCCAGGCCGTTTGTATCTTGGAAGGAGGGCTCTGTGGGGATGGTCATCCCGGAAGGGACCTCTGGGAGGCAGCAGAGGAGGTGCTATGGAGCAGCCACACCTGGAGACTCAGGGCTGTTCCCAGTCCTGGGGTCCTACGGGGACAGGGAAGAGGAGGGAAATAGTGTGACAGAGTTCCTGACCCTGTTTATGGATAGGGAAGTAACTGTGGGCATTCCACAGGACCTGCTGGGCCCTCGGTTGTGGGTCACCACCACCAAGCTGCATCCTGATGCCGTTTCTTCCCCGGGGCTTGGGCCTCTTCCTTTCTGCCCTGAGACTGGAGAGATGATCCTCCCAGGTCCTCTCTCCTCAGCTACATTTTCCCTCCTCGGGACAGGTTTTTTCTGGACAGGCCAAGCTATGCTTTTAAGCCCCTCTTCTTAAGGGCAATAGAAACGACCTTACTTACAACACAAGGGAAAACGAGGCACAAATAATGACTGAGCACCTACTATGTGTCAGCATTCTATCAGCCGGTTCATGCACACTAATCTCATTTACTCCACATAGTAACTGGTTGCAGAAGGTTAGCCCATTTTACAGATGAGGAAACTGAGGCACCGGGAGCAAAATAACTTCTACAGGATCACATGGGCGGTTAAGTGATAAAGCAGGGACTCAAACCTAGAGACCTCCAACTCCAGTGTGCATGTTCTTTCTACCATGCTAACTACATACACATGACAGAATGGTCAGGGAGGCAGAGCACGCTCCACACAGACTAGAAACTGGAAAGACACACGTTAGTTATAGAACCCAGACTTGGAGATCTTCTTACCAGTTGCCACCTCCATTTTGGATCTCTCTGTAACCAGCTTCCTCTGGCCAGTCTGTTCTTCATTGAGAATCCTTCGGTTTTTGTTTTTGTGCTTTTGCCTTTGTTGAGAGCCCTTACGGAGTTCTTCCCAAGATGGCTCTCTGCTTACCTTTCATGTCCCGGTCTAAGCTTGCTCCCTGAGCTCGTGGCAAGCCCATGCTCCTTCAGGTTTTTTTTTTTCACTAGCGAAATTATTTTCTCTTCTTCATTCAAAACACAAAGCCAGAGCAATCTTGAGCTGGCTGCTAGACAAGGACCCTAGGGACAATGGTGGTTTCCACTTAGCAAGCACTTGCTACTGGATTCATATATGCCGAATGTTAGCTTGCAGTATCTCATTTAATTGCCTGAACAGCATTAGGGTAGGTGTTAGCATTTCCGTTTGATGGATTGGGTAGCTGAGGCCCAGCGTCACTGAGTAAGCTGCCCGACATCACACAGACAGGCAGTTCTCAACGTCAGCTCTGTGTGGTCCAGAACCTGTGGCATTAACCCCACCCACAGGGAATGGTCAGGAAGATACCCTGCTTTCCCATCCTCTCTACTGTGGATCTTGATTCTTACTATAAGTTCTCAATGTAATTTAATACACCAAATAGCTGACACTGGGACTCTGCTGGGATAGAAGAGAAATAGGTAATACGTCTGCTAGGATCCTCGGTCCATTTGAAGAGACAAAACACATGAAGCGCATTCCATGACATCCCTTGGGTCGTGGGACATTCTTGTGTGTTCCTCCCCACCTCCCTAATGCTCCCTTTGATCTCCTTCTCAAGCTGCCCTGCTCATACTGGTGTTCTACAGGGCTCCACCTTCAACCTACCTCTCTTCTCACCTCCCATCAGGGTTTGCAGCTTTGAATAACCACAGGGAGTGGGCAGAAATTCACCCAGCAGGCTGAGCATTAAACAATAGCTCGCTTCTACAGCAACCAAACAAAACCTTTGCCTCGCTACAGGCCTTGAACCATACCCAGCCCAACAAAGCGCCCAAACAGAACGGAACATTTTTGCAATCCAAGTCATGCTCAGAGCTGCAGGGTTGTCGCTCTTATTTCTATTTCCCCAGGACAATTTCATCTATCTCAAGTACGTATCTATTATCTACTTCCTCCATGATGATAACATCTGCATGTGCTGTCTTCAGCCCAGCTCTCTCTCCTGGCTTCAGACTCTGTGCATGTGAGGGTCTGCTGACATCTCCAGCTGCCCCTAGACCCAACCTGGGAAAACTTGAATGCACCACCCCCAGCCTCCTGCTTATGTTTATCTCATGTTTATCTCCCCTTTCCCTTTCTCTCTATCTCTCTCTTCCTCCAGCCCCCCAGTACCTGCCCTAATTCAGGCTGTTGCCTCAGTCCCCGGGAATATTGCTGTATCCTCCTGCCTGGGTCCCACCTCTCTCCCATCCATCCTTCTCATCCAGCCTGAGTCACTGACCAAAAATAAAAATGCAAGGCTACCACCAGCTCCAAATTCATAGCCTGTGGGAAAAAGCACACATTCCTTATCTCGGTATCCAAGCCCTCCCCAGCCCAGCAGCACATACGTCTAGAGCCACCCCTGGTTCTCACTTCACTCTCTGGGCACAATAAATTGTGCATACTTGTCCTACATACACCACAGAGCGCCACACTCTGGAGTCTCTAGGCCCACTGCTGCCTCTGCCTGGAGAGCCTTCCTTTCCCACCCACCCACACTCTGCCTTTGCTGAGCCACTGCTGTATATTTTGAAACCTATATTGGTGCCACCTCCTCCAAGAAGTCTTCTCTGACATCCTTCAAGTCTGGACCAGGCACCCCTCCTGTTGAGGGGGCTGATGCACACTATCTTGTACCATGGCACAGGATTTCAACATTGCTTGTTTACTTGTCTGTGAACTGGAGGGTGACTATGTGTGGCAGGCACTGGAGTTGCCTACCCAACATCTAGAACCTTTTCCTGATTTTATTCAGGAAAGGAATTGCTCAGTCTTGAGGACTGTTTAATTTTTTAAAATTTTATTTTTTATTAATACATAATAGTTGTGCATACATTGGGGATACATGTGATCATTTAACACATTTGAATAACTTGTAAAGATCAAATCATTATCATCAGGATTTACATTGCCTTAAATTGTTGTCTTTTCTTCATGCTAGGAACATTTGAATTGCTATCTTCTAGCTACTTTGAAATATACAATAGGTGATCAGTAGTTAACCTTTGCTGTGAGCCAAGTACTGTGTTAAGCACCTTTTGTACATTAAACATTTAATCATTACATCAACCTGTGAAGTGTCATTATCACCATTTTACAGATGGGAAACTGAGGAACAAAAAGTTAAGCTCCTTGGCACGGGTTATATAACTGAGGAGTGATGGAGCCAGGATTTGAACTGTGGCCATCAGGCTTCAGAGCCCCTGCTCTTAATGGACACGATAGACTCACTGCTGTTCCCGTGAACAGCACATCACAATTTTCCCAAGGCAGCCAGTATGGCATTCAATTCTGGTTTGCCTGTGACGGGTCTAGAAACGGGCATGTAAACCCAGATATGGTCACTGGGTTACAATAAGAAGGCAGCTGGGCGCTTCTAGGAAGGGTATTCGTGCCCTATTTAAAAAAAAAAAAAAAAAGAGCAAAGTGAAGGTCCCTGTTCTGCCTTGCTTGTGTCTTTGAGCATTAGGCTGTAGTTGGGGACTGTGACGGCCACCTTGCCATCTGAGGGAAGACATCACTGACACACCAAGCATGGCTCTTCATGGCACCGCTGAGCTGTGGCGCCTACAGCTCCTAAAGACCACAGCCCTGGACTTCTTTCTTATTTTTGATGAGCTAAGGAATGTCCGCATTGTTTTGTCAGAGGGGTTTAAACCAGAGCAACTCCATCTCGAATAGGGGCTGGATAAAATAAGGCTGAGACCTTCTGGGCAGCATTCCCAGACAGTTTGGCATTCTAAGTCACAGGATGAGATAGGAGGTCAGTGGCACGAGATACAGGTCATAAAGACCTTGCTTATAAAACTTGCAGTAAAGAAATTGGCTAAAATCCCACCAAAACCAAGATGGCAATGAGAGTGACCTTTGGTCGTCCTCACTGCTGTACTCCTGTCAGTGCCATGACAGTTTATAAATGCGAAGGCAACATCAGGAAGTTACCCTATGTGATCTAAAAAGGGGAGGCATGAATAGCCCACCTCTTGTTAGCACACGATCAATAAATAACCATTAAAATGGGGAATCAACAGTCCTTGGGGCTGCTCTGCCTATGGAGTAGCCATTCTTTATTCTTTAACTTTCTTAACAAACTTGCTTTCACTTTATGGATTTGCCTTGAGCTATTTCTCACAAGATCCAAGAACCCGCTCTTGGGGTCTGGATCGGGACCCCTTTCTGGTAAGAGTTTAGGCCACCACTGGCTGAGTATTGTTACTTGCAGCCAAACCCGTATACCCATCCAATGCCCAGAACAGTGCCTGGCACATAGTAGGCCCTTCCTAAAGGGCTGTTTAATGAAGAAAATGAAAAACCATGTGAGCATATGTGGGAAAACAGGATAAACTCAAGGCACTACATGAATATGAAGAAAGATTCATTTTCTTGAGCCTCAGTTTCCTTATTGAGGGGGCTGGGCTCAGTGGGTTCATTTAGGCTTCCACTTTCTCTATTTTGAGTACAAGCGAAGATGAAGTTTCAGGTGTGCAGGACTGACAATAAACGTTATGAGAGAAGAGACCCTGGGACTCCCTCACAGCTGCTCACTGTTTATCCTTGGCAAGCCAAGGGAGCCTGTCAAAGGACATCACTTTCTGCAGGAAGGTTCAAAGAAACATATCTAAATAGAACAGAGTCTGATAAGGGACTCGCCCAGGGGCCAGCCTCTAAAACAGAGAACTGCAAAGACCTCTCCTCTCTTGGCCTTTGATTTAACTCAGTAAAATCTGGAAGCATCAGAATGACTTTCTTTGTTCACTGTAGACTCCTGAGGCCACCCAGAGGCCTGCCTGTTTATCCACCACAGGCAGCTGGCAGGAACTCAGCAAGGCACACTCCTAGCTCTACTCAGCCACTCAGATAAGGTCACTAGGATCACTCATGAGTCTGGGGGCATTGGAGTGGGATCTAATGCACCTGATGCTGCAGGCCAGCCCTTGGCCAAGTGACAAGGACCTCTGAATCCTACTCTGAGGCTCCCCTGGCTGCCCTTTGTTGTCCCTAGTCATCCTTTGTGGGACCTTTGGGAAATTATACGTTAGTTCCATGGTCACTTCAATTTCCCAACTAAAAGTCTGTGTTCTGCACTCAGAAACATCTTAGTCAGTATGAACTGAAGTCTTTCTCAGGCCTATTTGCTAACTAAATCTCATCTCCCCAAGATGCCTTTGGTGTGTTCATCTTGCAAGCTTTGTACCAGTTTTTAACCCTTGTTTTGCACTGCGTATCTCTTATATTACTTAAATTTTACCTGTTTCCTAGTTCCCAACTAGACTGTAAATCCCTAAAAGACAGAGCCCACATCTTCCATCCATACTTAGGATTCAATTATTCATTCATTCATTTATTCAACAAACATCTATTAAGTACTGAGTTTTGTGGTAGGTCTGAGCTTTCAAAAATGAGTAAGACATAGCCCCTACTTTCATGATCTTAAAGTCTGTTTGGGGGAGACAGACTGTAGAAGCAGATAGTTAGGTCCCCTCCTCATCTTCATCCTGGGGTTCATGTTCCAAGTGTCACAACCCCTCTCAACCAGCCTTTATTTGAGCTGCAACTCTTTGTAACTCTGTTTCTTGTAATCAAGAGAAACCAATTACGGCATCCTCTAGGGTAAGAAATGCTTAAACTGACTCTTAAAGGATCAGTATAAGGGAAATGAGGGCATAGGGAGGATATTCCTGGCAGAGGGCACAGCACGAGCAAGAGCATGGAGGCCAAGAACAGCTTGTTATGGGCAATGCCAAACACATGTGCATTCATTTCTATTTTTGATCCTTCATTGTGGAATGAAAGGCTTTGTCCACAGTAAAGCAATCCCAAACACCAAAAGGCTGATAAAGGAGGTATTTTGGGACTCGCATAGCGAGTAAAGTCCCTTCCCTGAGCCTACAAAATTACACTGGGTAAGCAGCTGTCTCTAAACGCCATTGCTTAAAACCAGTCCTGCTAATTCACAGCCACTTCTTTGGTGGCCAAAGATGCACAAGAGAGAGAAGGAGCGGCCCAATTGCAATGGCCAAATTCCTGGGAATGAGAGAAATGTCTCCAAAGAGGGAATGGCGAGGTCGAAAGGCACTCTAAGAGAGTACTTCACCCAGCTGAGTGCTGAGGGCCTCACACCAAGATGGGAGAAACAGAACCAGAATCCAGCCTTCCATCTCTGGAAAATCCCACAGAAGCTACTTCCTTCTCTGCAGAGAAATACCATTTCCCCTGCAATTTAGAACTTACACATAAGAGGAATATAGACTCCCAAAGCTTATGAGTATGGGGAATACTAATGTGATACAAGGCTGGGTTCAATCTACCCTTTAGCTTCCCAGAAAAGGCTGGCTCAAGCATACAGAGGCAATGACACATGCTCTAAAAAAATCCAGAGCATCTAAACAAGGCAAAGTTATCCCCCTTCCTCTGCCATGGCTCTGCTGGGCTCCAGCTAGCTCTTCATCTCTCAAGCTCCATTTCTAGGAGCCCACACCTTGATAAATGACTGGTAACAGTCACTTAATCCCACAGAAATTAAGTGACCTACTGTGTGCAAGGCCTTGTCATTGGAGAAGTGTGAAAAGCTCAGATTTTCTTACTTGGGACCCATCCCAATCCCCTATTGCCAAGGGATCAGATGTGGTTAGCAAAGACACCCTTGACCCACAAGGACATTCATTCCAAGCTCTGGTTTCCATCCAGCCCAGGGGATTGTCTTTCCATGACTTAAAGTGGCACCCTGCTTGCCTCTCATCTATCAGGAGCCACAGACCTGCTTTGCTTTCTAAAAAACTGGTGCCCCTGTGCTTACCTTCAGCTTTAAAGATGGCTACTTAACGGCAAAACATGCTCACTCAAATGCAAGTTCAATGAGGTCAGTGGTTTTATCCTGTTCATTGTTGAACCCCTGGCATCTAGGACAGTGCCTGGCACATTGTCATTGTTCAATAAATGTCGAATGAGGGAAGCATTTGTTGACTGCCTTTCCCACTAGACTGTAGCCTTGTTGTTTACCATTGTATCCTCTCTGTTTAGAACAGCATACAGCACGTTGTAGGAACTCAACAAGTATCTGTTAAATGAATAAGTATGTAGTTGACTGATTTTTTGGACATATAATTTTTCTTACAATGCCTTCAGTATTCATTCGACGAATTATTGAGTTTCTTCCACATGCCAAGCCCTGGGCCAGGCTTGGAGATCCAAAGATGCCCTAGATAGAGTCCCTGCCTCTAGCTAGTCACAGTCTAGTGGAACAGATAAATAGGAAAACAAAGTAGAGGCCAGGAGCAGAGGCTCCTACCTGTAATCGCAGCAATTTGGGAAGTCAAGGCAGGAGGATCACTTGAGCCCAGGAGTTAAGGACCAACATGAGAAACATAGCCAGACCTTGTCTTTACAATAAAATAAATTAGCCAGGTGTGGTGGCACATCCCTGTAGCCACAGCTACTCAGGAGACTGAGGCCTGAAGATTACTTGAACCCAGGAGATTGAGGCTTCAGTGAACCATGTTCGTACCACTGCAGTCCAGCCTGAGTGACAGAGCGAGACCCTGTCTCAAAAAAAACAGAAAATAACAAAGTAGAAGCCCTCTAATTTGGCAGGATTTAAACTCACAGTTTGTCAGAAAGTTGAAAATATCAAAGTGGAGAATCATAAAAATTCCTACCATGCTGGGCAACTTCCACTTTCCTCTGATCCACTCACCTCCACTCTGGGGATTTCACCTCTGTGGACGGTATCAATGGACACCTGTGCCTTCTGTCTTCCCATTTGGCTTGTCCAATAGGAGACACTGGTATAACCTTGCAGGAAGAAAGAAGGGAGAGGCCAGGGCATCTAATTTCCTGTTTCCCCCTGCAGCACCTTGGCACACTGGCTGCCTCCCTCAACCCGAGGCTTAGCTGCTATCAGGAGCCCTCTGCGTTCCCCCAACTTGAGGTCCTATCCTGCGGTTTTCCTATTTCTACCCACAGTTTTATAAACAATCCTTTTATTTTATTAAACTATCTTTGAAGTAACTAATTTGAGCATGTAATTTTTTCCCTGCTGTGATTCTACTAACATACACCCCTTAAACATTTTTTTAACTTTAAATATACCTACACACACACACACACACACACACACACACACACACACACACGTACTAATTCACCTATTCCTTAAAAGGCCAAAATCTTTTCTTTGGCTGTGGGTCTGCTAGCTGAATTTCCACATCCTCTTTCATTCATAAACAACATCCATAACATGTAGACTATGAATTGCGTATTTCTTTTTCTTTAAATTGCAGAATTTAAGGACACTTGTTAATGCTAATGCAATTCAAGTGCAGAATACCTTGAGATTTTTACAGCTTGTTTTCTAATCTTTTACAGTTGTTTCACCCACACCTAATTTTCCAGCAGTTTGTTTTCATGACTCACATTTAGGGAGGATTTTTTCCCTCTTAAAAATATCAACATTGATTTATTCGTTCATTTTTTTGAACAGCATCCATTCATCAACTCCTACTCTGTCTCAGGCTGTGGGTTGGAACATGAGGCACAAAGATGGGGCCACCATGGTCTCTGTCTTTGAGTTCAGTCTTGAGGAGATACACATGTGACCAATAGCATCTCATGAAAATGACCTTGCTCAAACCCCTGCATGCATCAGCTTTTCCATGTGTCTTCCTGAAGCATTCAAATTTTAGGTTGTATAAAAACAGCTCTCTCTTTTTCCCCTTGTGTTTCATTGGTCCGTGCCATACTGAGTTAGATCAAGCAACTACTGTAACAGATGGAATTAGGCTAGGCAGGTTTGGGAGCAAATATCACCAGCTCCTGGTATGTGTCTAACTCAATAGGTAAGAGCAGAAGTGATAGCTAGAAGCTGGTCAGCTGTAAGGGTTCACTGGACCTCCGGCGTTGATTAGCATGCATCACAGGGTGAGCAGAGAGCTTGCCTTAAGCTAGAAGTTTGAGCTTTAAGCAGGTGCTATGAGGGTGTCCCCCCCCAAATTCATATGTTGAAATCCTAACCCCTTTAAGTGATGGTACTAGGATGTGGGGAGTGATTAGGTTATGGGGCCAGAGCCCTCATGAATGGGATTCATGATCTTATAAAAGAAGCTCAAGAGAAACCCCCTCACCCCTTTCCCCTGTGGGAACACAGCAGGAAGGCACAGCCTAGGAGCCAGAAAGCAAGTCCTCACCAGACACTGAATCTGCTGGCACCTTGATCGTGGACTTCCCAGCCTCCAGATTGTGAGAAATAAATCTCTGCTGCTTGTAAGCCGCACAATCTATGGTATTTTGTTACAGCAGCCCAAATGGAATAATAGCAGCAGAGGTTACTTAAGAGAAATATCACCAAACTTAATGTTCAGAGTGAGAGAGGCAGGCTGGGATGTATCACATACAAGTGCTGAAATGTATGGATGCCATTGTTTCAGACTGAGTTCCTATGCTACATCCCAAGAGACCAGACCAAATCACAGTGGAGTCACTCACACTAGGCACCACATAATCAAACATACTTTTAAAATGGGATGGTTTTAAAAAAGAAGAAGAAAGAAAGAAAGAAAGAAAGAAAGAAAGA